GCGATGGCCTCCAACCTATATAATAGCAATGGCCTCCAACCTAATAGCGATGGCCTCCAACCTACTAGCGACGGCCTCCAACCTAATAGCGATGGCCTCCAACCCGATAGCAATGGCCTCCAACCTAATAGCAATGGCCTCCAACCTAATAGCAATGGCCTCCAACCCAATAGCAATGGCCTCCAACCTCTTGCTCCTGTAGTGAACCTTGAAAACTTTTAGAAGGCCCATAGGCTGATCTTGAAAGAATTCACTCATGCTGGCAACTGGCAATTCTTGGGACCCGTGTCACACGCGGGCGCCTTCAAAGAGGATGCGGTTGTAAACTCAGGCATGCAGTCCGGAATGACATAGTGGCCTGGCTCAGTAACATGGTGTTCTCAAACATGATCTTGATCCAGCATCTGCAGTTCAACTTTTGATTTATCTCACAGGAAGCACATCTACATCTACTTTCAGTCAAACTACATTTTACATTTTTCTGCTCAAGGACCTGCCAAAGTTCAACATGTACGACCAGTTCGATTCGGATCACAAAGCTCGACATGGACAAAGTTCACACTTCATACCCCACCTGCCGTTTCCTGGCCGCTAGCGAGCATGATTAAATCATCTCCTTCCTGAGTCTCTTGGAGCACCACAACGACTTTGAAAACTTCTGTGCTCTGTCCAGAAGTGAGATTTACAATAAACTGGTGGCAAAAAGACTCACCAACATCTGCGGTTCAGCTGTCTCATCCGCCTTCCAGTCTCTGATCCAGCCCTTTGACCACATGCCCTCGATAACATGGTGCACGTCAACATGTGCGTCCCCTTTGATATGTCTGGTTAGTACTGAAAGCTCCATTCGATTTGCGCACATTTATTTGACTAAGAACGTATGTCTGGTCGACGTCTGGATCCAACGTCTTGCAGCTTTTCTTATCTGTGCAAACTGCTGTGATGAGTCCCAGCTCATCGATTCCAAGTCTCCTCCAGCTTATGTGTCCCGATCTTCAGCTTCTTTGTATCATCCGGGCAGGAGTTTTGCTTCACCCCACATACAACGGCATGAGGAAAGTACTGAAACATGTCCTGCAATGTTCAAGGTCAAACTACTTGTGACTGTGTGTTCAGTAAAAATCTAGAAACTCTGCAAAATAGTTACAATGGAACTACAAAAAGAAATACATGGATTTCTTCGAACACAAAATCAATCCTTCAAAGAGAAGCCGTAAAGTGCAGGAGGCACTGGCAGCAAAAAGAGCTGAGTTCCCGAACCTCGGCACACCGGAGACCGACACCGACCCAGGCGGACGTAGAGTCGGAAGGCTTTCTATTGCTTAGTTACTAGTAGCTTCTTTAGGAAAGCCTTTCAAATGCAGTTTCTTTGTAAAGAAAAGCCAATCACGTGACCCTCCACGATTCAAGGTGATTCAAGATCTTACAAGCCAATCGAAACAAAGACTGAACCATGTTCGGTGATGTCTATCTGACCTCAGTTTCTACGGTGCTGGCTCAGTTTCTATGATACAAACCTCCCAGAAGAAAACAAACAACTAGCGCCGAGCGCCCTTCAAAAAAACTAGCAGGCTGCAGTAGGCTCAAGCAAATCAACATGCTGTCCACCTCTTTGAATGAAACCCACTTTCCAACCTCCTTCTATTTCCATCGAATTTGGAGGCTGATTCGTCCCCAAGCAAGCCACGTGTGGTCGACATCCGCAACCAGGCGTAGCCCACAGATGGCACTAGCGCCCTGAGCGTGATCATGTGATTCACCTGGAGCGCAGCATGGCCGCATGGCCGCACAGGGAAGGTGATGCGCAGTCAGGTCACTCTGGGATGCGCAGTCACCAAACGACGTGTTTTACATGTTAAAACCACACACAGGTCATCGCAGGTCTGTATTGTTTTCTTTTTGGCGCCCAAAAACTGCTTATGCTGGGTTCACTTCTGCAGGTGCACAAACTGCGGAGCTTTACGACTTCGTTTTTCGATCTCATTGCCACCCTTTTGGTACTTCATCCATTTCGGAAACCTTTGATTTCGTGGCATGGAAGGCAAAAGAGCTCAAAGATTGGGAGGAGAACACAACGAAAGGTTGACCCATGAAGAATTGAAACGTGGCCCAACTATGCTTTTCAGTTCTTTCTAAGTAGGAGAACCGTGGAATATTTTATGTTTGAGCACCAACACCGCTTGGGGTATGACAAGGGGGATGACAATTGCATGCCTTAGCATTTGTAACCAGAATCCTGGGCCGTGGCTTCTGTGTGTACTACAATTGGCCAGTTTTGGGCGATTTCGCAGCAGCAGTTGTTTTTCGAGGAGCCAAACTTTCTGGTCATAGCCTATTCATAGCTATCAATACATCAAAATGCTTCTAGCTTAGCTGTCGGGGCTGTGGATCCTTCTGATGTGTGGCTCCAAGCACTAAGCTCTCCTGCTTGAAGATCTTCCACTTACATATGCAATTCGCTGTGGCATAGGACGAACCAATGTTCGCCCCAGTTGCTTGGGACGAACGTCGAACGTGACTCGACTCGAGTGGAATTCTGGGAGACCCAACAAATGCAAACGTGCTTGTTGGCCACTAGTGACATTTAAGGGGTTCTGCTCCCAGGCCCGACCAAAAACTCTCAGCCTGCAACTACTGTTGCATTCAATGCAATGAAACATCCTATGATTTGCATGTGGGACATTGTGGGACTTGTTTGTTCACAAGGAGTTGCTCGTACGGTTCGTATGGCTGATTTTTCTTCGCGTCTATCGACCCTCTCAAAAAACAGCAAAAACCCTAGAACAAACAGTATCACCAAAACCAGTGGCTTTCCCCTGGTCTGGGTCCTCCTTTCAGCCCAACCGAAACCAGAAACCAAACGACTGGTGGGTCAAAGGTCGGTCACTGCCGAGTCACAGCGTGTCTGGCCACAATGCCCTGCGCACTGGGCAAAATGGTGTTCACCACTCGTGCGCTCTCGCGGTTGTGCATTTCCTCAAACCGGCAAAACACAGCGCTTCAGCGCTTCGTCATTTATTCTGTTGCGAAAGACGGTCTTCCGTTGGACACTTTTCGCCAACAGGTGAAGAAGCAGAACCAGAAATTGGAGCGTTATCCACAATAAGTAGAGACTAGAACAAAGCTGAGGAAAACCATAACAAGGAACAACGACAAGCCACAGGCTTGTTCAATCCCAGACTACCCGGAGCAAAGGCTTCAGCGCTTTTGGAGCCTTTTGGACTGGCTTGGACATACAGGAGAGACCAAGTGTGAGCCCAGTGGACAGGACATGGCGACTTTCGCATTGGCTCTGGAACTCACCGGGCAAGGCCTGCCACCTGGCAGTGTGAACCACCTGTAAGGGAACAAGCAAGAGAGAGAATCACAGAAGATCTCAACCATCCCAACAAGCTTCACAACTTGATCCTTTGATTCTTTAGGTGTTCCTAATGACCTATCTTGGACATTTGCTGTCCTGTTCTTGAGATTTCCCTAGATTTCCTGAAAGACCTTGGACTTCTCAGCATACCAAACCTCACCCAACCTGCCTCCTTCATTGACCCGGCCCAGTTGACCCTGAACACCAAGCGTTTACGCTTGGCCGAGGGTCAGTCCACACATCTGCCTGAAGGGATCCCGGCAACGCGCCCAAGGCTAAGAGCGTTCGGATCGCCTCAGAGGGGATCGAGGTCGGAAGGAATCGAGGTCGACCATGATCCACGAGCTTTGCTTAAAAATAGATGGCCTCATGTTGCCTAGTGACGAAAGTGGGGTGAAATCTATGCACGAAACTGGGCCATCCTGCTAGCACATCTCTGGTCAACGCTTCCATGTACGACTCAAAAGGGGTCCAATCCTTACTGGTCATAGCCAAATGGATCAAAGTGAGTTTCAGGTTTCTGGCTACCTCGGAAGATCTCCATTGAGACCGGTGTCGATTTATCTATTTTGTCTGAGGAATGAATCCTAAAGTCAAAATGATAATGGTAAAGGGGGACGACGGGACTCGAAACTATCGCCTTAAATTCATGGAAGAAACAAACACTGATGGGTTCTTATCTTGGACTCACCTATATATATATATGTATAGCCTCTAGTTTATTCGAGTGCTGCGAAGCTAACAAACGAAATCAGCAATGTTTGGCATCCGCTACATGGGCTGGTCCTTCTGAATGCATGTTCTCTCTCAGCTCTGTCTATGCGGCTTACTTTGCGCCGACCCCCTACGGCACTGCACCTTATCACTCTGTGGCCTGGGGAACGCTGCAAAACGTGAGCAAAACACATGGGTGTGTATTGGAATAGGTTGGATTAGGTATGACTAGGTAGTCACAAATGGTCTTAGATGGCTTCAGTCAACTTTTTCAGTACACAGCCCACATGTTTCCGGGCGCAGCGGACCAGCCTCATGGTCAGAGCTCCCATCCGTCTCAGCTGAACACATGATCAGGATGTCATCTGCTGCAGATGCATTGACCTGCGGCGTGACCCGTTGTTGGGGGGGCCATCAGATCGCCGGTGATCACTGGCCATCAGGTGTTCGGACTCAACTGACGATGAACATCAGTGACTGTTTCTTCTTAGAGATTGATAAGCTCAGTATGCCAAACCAGTGGACGTGCAGCCAAAGCCCCAAAAGCTTGGGAACACTTTGCCTCGTTGGTTGGTTGAGAAACTTGGACCCTTCGTTACAAAGACCCTGGCATCACGTTTCGTTTTTGGCTGTGGCAAGTTTACATCGTGGCATACGATGGGTGAGCTGCTCTGAGCAATTTTGTGTCCAACAAAGGTCCTGCAACCTCATGAAATCACCGTTTTCACTCCAGCAGCTCTTGTAATTACTGCAATGGTTGCATGTTAAATTATTGTAGATATCACTTCGATTCTGGCATGATCTCTCTTGTGCTGATTGATCAATGTCTCTTTCACATCAGTAAACAATCTGTGCGGACCCGCACCTTCATGAGTTCAATCCCATGAGCTTTACATCCTTCTCGGTACGAGATAGCACGTAGCCTTTTGTAGGCACCTGCCCAAGAGTGGTTGGCATTCAGTGCAGTGTTTACGGGTCCGAAAGAGTTTTCTCCCCAAATGTGTAGCACGTGGAATGGCATCAGTGGCATTCAAAACTGTACAAGGCCATAACGGCCAAAGTATGAAATACTCACTATATATATATATACACACATACATGCACACATTTAATTATATATATATACCATTATATAGTGTGAAAACTAGATAATGCATACATGGCTCTATGTCAAGTGCCCGTGCTCCTTCTCATGCTGCTTGGCTCTGGTTTCACGTGCCTTGCGGATCCTGCGTGCGAAAATGCAGCCGGACTTCGGCTTGCATCTCGCGCACTGGCCGTTCGGCCAAGATCACCTGAACTGAATGCATTGGACTCGGACGCGGTTGGAACGAGCATGAACTGGGAAATCAAAGGGACGCAGTTGCATCATGCGGACTGGTGACTTGACTTGACCAGAATTGACCGGTAGAAGAAATGGAAGGAGAAACCTTGTTGCAAAGCAGAATATTGGCAGCACAGTGTGGAGGCTTTTAAGCATGCATTACTGGGAAATGGAGGAATTGAAGAGAGGACAGCCGGATTGGCTGTGATGACTAATGAATTAGAATGAACAGCACACAGCAGGAAAAGGGCTTGTTGGCAAAACCTGACCAAAATGAATGCCCCAGGGGCGATACGTCGGCGATACGTTTGTGCCCAGTGGCGATACGTCGGCGGCGGCGACAGCATCGAGAGGTGCCATCGGCCTCGTCTCGTTGGACAGCACAAAGCCTCAGAAATTGATGCACCAACGGCAGGAAGCTACTAGGAGCAAAGGGCATCGCTACTAGGAACAAGGATGCTAGGGGCTCCTGGCCTTACTACTAGGAGCAAGAAGCCAAGACTTTTGGGATGACACATCATGAAACACATGGACACTTAACTGGCATCACTGGCTGACTTGGCAAGGAGCAGCTCTTCTAGCAAGAAAATGGTCTTGTCCTCAGTTTGGCAAGCCATGGTGCCTAATACCGGATCTAGATCAAAAAAGAATTGGAGAACAGTTTCGGAATTGATGGAATTGTGCGGACTTGCATGACACGAACCCAATTCCCCTTGCAATCAATTTTGAGGTGTGTTACCAGCGCAGAATCTTCAGGACTTGCTGCAAGACGAAGTATGTCGCACAAACAACAATCGAGGGCTGCTCTTTTGGGCAATTACAGTGTGCCCGCTGAACATCGTGTGGAACAAACAAGTTGTTGTAAAAGTCATGCTGAGGCAGGGTCGCCCCAGCCAAGGATGAGCCAATGACCTTGAGCATCCACCTTGCTGTACTTCACCTGCAAGGTTGAAGTGTGTGACAACTTCTTAGACCGCACGTTCTCTGCATATTCTCTAACGAACGAAGGCGGTTGAACGGCCCTCCTGGCATCTGAAGATCCGATGGTACACCAGAGTCCGATGGACACCAGGTCAGATATGAATAGATCGCTCAAATGAGCTCAATGGCACACCAGCGGTGTCCCATGAAACCCTTCTCTGTCGAAATGGACATGAAGACCCTCCTGTCCTTTCGTTCCTCCCGCCCATGGATCAGCCTTCCAATGGAGCAGGAAGGATCGGATCAGCTCCACGACCTGCTGGAGCGATGCGAAATATGACTCTGGTTTTGCGAGGGTCGAAGACACCAAGTGGGAAGGGTGACACCAAGGAGATGAGCTTGCTGCTAGTCTACAATGTTTTGTCCTTAGCAGCTTAGGATTCAAAACGGACAAATATGTTGTACAAAGTCACCCAGTCCGGACAGCGTCTTCCATGTGTCTTCTGGGCACGCTTAGCTCACGACCATTCCCAAAAAGGTCAGGCAATACCTTGACAAAAAGCGACCACGCGACATTACATCATCGTCATCAGCTCTTTCGACCCTTCAATTCTCCCTCATGTTTGCCTCTTTTTCCTGGCGTGCCGTGCACCAAAACAATCAAGGCCTCCGTCGCTGATCCATACTGATCTGTTCATAGCATGTTCAACATTGGTATGTATGACATGTTCATATAACAAAATGGTAGTACTATATGTGTATAATGTATATTATATATACATATGTCGTGGGTGGTATAGCATGTTGATATATATATATATATAATGCATCCATGACATAGATGACATGATCCCTTCGCTAATCGTTGAAATGATCCTCCACCCATGTCGTGAGAGGTTTGCCGCTGCGCCACACGAAGCCGATGATGGAGATGACCACCGCCACGGCCCGGACCACTCCACGCTCCTTTTCTGCGCGGCGGGGTCCACAGGTTTTCTTTCGGGCACACGAGCCATTGATACTCTTCATCTCCCCGACTGAACTAACATGGAAGTGGAACATGGGCCGAAATGCGCAATGCACCGCTGACGATGCTGACGCAGTGTTCCACTTCCATGATAGCGATAGGGTATCTTCAGTTAATTACATTGCTGCCCTAACAATGTGTGATGCAGGAAGTCCCTGGGGCACACTTACAATGCTCATCCGAGCCAATCCAATATCATAAAACTGACAATCATACATGTCTCTCCCTCTCTTTCTTGCTAAACCCCACACAACACCGTTTGACTTGGTTCGACTGCTTCAAACCTTCACGGGCCTTAGCAGCAACCAATACTACTAGCGCCTGGGGTCAGTGGAGGACACCGGTTTTGCCAACGGTTGGAGGGAGTCAGCCAGGAACAGTGTCAACAAAGGTAGTCTGCCAGAGGCAACGGAACACGATGTTCATCTACAACTATCATTGTCCGGGTGCATTTTCACGTGATAGATCTTTGCGCATGTTTTGAAAGCTGAGCTGAGACTAAGACTTTAGGCTTAGTACTGCGCCTTCAAGTAGCTGAGAATCTTTCTGTGCAGGTACTCGCAGTGCAACGCCCAAATCAACATGATCTACTTTGTCATTCAAGGGACAGCAAGTTGTGGGGGGGCCACATGAGACCAACGCTTCAACGTCCATCTGCGCATATATGTGCCATGTGCCGTGTGCCGCAAACTAACAAAAAACGGCCAAGAGTCGTCGGATGAGAAGGAAGTCTGGGTCCCTATATCCACCAGCAGAACATAGGAGATCCTCAATACAACGAGAAAGACATCAGAAAAAGGCTCTCCACAACACTGTCTCGCCTGAAACTGCATGTTTTCTGAAAACAAATGAAACCATAACCACAAATAAATGGCTTACACACGCTTCTGAAAGCTTGACATAGCAAAAATATGTTAAACTCAAATTCAACACCTTCGTCTTCATTCAAGGCTTGTCACCATTGCTCCGCCCCACGTTCTCCAGCTTGCATAACCAAGCATCCAAAAACTATCGCGCAGCCTGGTCCCATAGTCGTCATTTCCACCGGATAGGACCCAAGCAAACATGCACAGGATCTGTATACCTGTGGTTTTTGGCTGAAGAATTTCAGCTCTTTGCCTTGCCCCAAACATATCCCCGCTCAGAAAGTCTGGACATGTTGTTTGAGACAACAAAGCCAGCCGGCGACTTCCCCTGAACTCACAGAGCACAAGAAAATAGGTCGTGCTTTTCGGAGACAAGAGCTTTAATTATGACGATTATGAAGTGATCTTCCTTGCATACATAGTGAACCACAAGCCTTTATGCATTTGCCAGGATAAGTATCAAGCATGTGCTGTCGAAGCTGCCACATCCTGCTAGGAGCAAGGCCAACCAATGCCCTTTCCTTGGTTCTGGATCTATACATTCTCTGCTGATTCCCATTTGCCATGTTGCCCCCTCCACCGGAACAGTCCCAGAAAGCTTCGTGGCTTTCCCATGTCTTATCATTGTCATTATGCTGCACGGGGCCGCATGCCACCAGGCTTGCGATTGCTTAGGCTTCAATACGCTTCACCTCCACATTTTGCTTGGCTGTCGTCGTGAGGGTTGCTCTTTCTCATTTGGAGTATCAACCCTTTCATCACATGAAGAACCAACCTTACGCAACCCACCCAGCACAGGTCATGTGGGCCAGCAAGACACAAAAGACAGCAGGCTCCGCAACATGTGTGCCATTGGAGTTGTAAGGCTCTCACAGTACGTCAACCTACAAACCTATTGTAGATTCAGCATCCAAAGCCAAGGCTTCCCGCCTCGAAACACCAAACCTGGCTGAGGAACGTGGTCCCTAAAATCCATGCGCGCAAACCAATCTTCCGAGAGATCTCCGAGCGCTTGGGGCAGCAGCTTCGGCAGCGCATGGCGGCAGCGCATGGCGGCAGGAGGTGACCAGCGAATGCACGGCCCTCCGCCGATTTCACGTTGACCTTCTTGATTTACTTGGAATATGAATATGTAAACATGTGCAGCATTGAAACACCTGCTTTTGCGGTGTTCTTGAGAGTTTGTAGGTAATTGTCTACAATGCGCTACTACATACCTGGTAGGATGTAGATGGTCAGACGAGCAAACCTGCCATCTAAATCGAAGCATCTTCTTTTGTGTTCTGCCACCAATTGCAATTTCGGCCAGTCTAGGGCATTGGCACGAATCATTTCTGCAAAGGATAAGGGGCCTTGATATAAGTGGCGAAGGCAGGTGACTCTGCAAATGATGGGTGTAGAGCTGTTTGTTGGGGCCTCTTCAGACCACTGGATCAGGGTTGGGCAGGATAGCCAGAAATCATGGTGCCGCGGCATTTCATACAACATCATACAACTAGGGTTGATGGAAACAAATACCAAAGGAGCAGCACTCTCAGCCATTCACAGTAGATTGGCCGCCAAGTCTGAACTGAATTCCTTGAAGGGAAGATGGTCTCATGCGCCATGCACATTCGTGTGGAGCAATCCCTTCGTGTGGAACTCCGACATCAGAGTTGAATTTTCACTATGAGGCTCTCCTGGATACGCCCTGGAAGATTAACATGAACCTGAAAACCACTGGTTTGTGGAGGAGGCCAGTCTTCCAGAGGTCCATTTTCAGGTTCCATGTGGGTCTCTTCTCGGGTGTAAACATAAGACCCTTCAGCCCTTCAGGTGAGTCTGCTCCAGTGGCTGTCTCCACCCCATGAAAGGTCATTAACTTCAGTTTTTTTCATTTTAGTCGTTGCTTGATTCAGCAACTGGCCGGAAATCAATGGTCGGTTGAATTCCTAACTTTGGCCATCCCAAAAATGGCAAATCCGTGCAATGCGCCAACAACATGGCCCGGCTTTTGGCCCTTATTATCAAACAGATGTTGACGTCACAGTGATGAAACGGCAGCTCCTCTCGGGGGCATTCCCGGGTGTGCCGACAGCTGCACCGGTAGCTACTTCTCCGGAAGATGCAGCAGATTTCTGGTCTCCGCCGAAACCGCTGCGTGGGTTGCTACCACTTGCGGATGGTCCAAGTCGGACTCGGACTTGGACATGGACTCCGGAAGTACCTTGCCAAGCACGCGGGCTGCAGCCACGGCGCACCAGCAATTTCAGGTGGATAAATGAAAGTAGCATGGGGATTGTCCCTCACAGGTCTTCCAACAAATCTGTCTTTTTGGACTGGGGCCAGAGCTGCTGGAGGCCCCAAGACTTTATGTCATTCTTCACAGGTCATTACTAATCAAATCTTGGCCTCTTTCAGAACGGTGATACCAAGCAACCAGTAGGTCTTCATGTCTGTTCCGATGGTAGGTGTTTCGGTATGCGGTGCCCATATTTTTGTTAGTATGTATATTTTGCAGGCCGTGCATATACAAGTACCATGCCAATTACAATTGAAGAGATCAACTTTCAAGTTCAGACGGTACTGTTGCCTTTTCTGTCATTCAACTCCAGCACTCAAACGCTGTTGGTGATGCACTCTTTGCTTGGCTCAGTCTTTCATGCTGTGCTAAAAAGTATGGGACACCCAAATCAACCCCAAACCACATTTGTGAAGAAAGGATCAGCCCCTCGTTTGGTTCCTGGTCCTGTCAGGTGTGACAATAGTCTCATTGTGTTTTGACACAAAGTGCTTTTGCAATGGCATGCTTGAAGAATGCATTATGTGAAAGACTTGAAGTTGCCTTGAGATCATAGCCTCTTACATCTCTGTTTGAATATACAACTTATAGATCCCTGCATGATCTACATGTTCTCTGAAGCAGTGCTTCTGGCACTCAGCAATCTTCAAACCCAGAAAGAATAGAAACATCTATTTATTCAGAAAAACTGCCGACGGCCCGGCACCTCCTTACAAATCCGCTCCTTCCGGTCCTTCCGGATGCCGGGAGCCAACCCAATCCGCCAGGGGACTCCGGAGGGCAACATGCCACGAAAATCTGCATCTCCTTCTTGGCACGAAGCTCCGGCTCGGTGCCCGCCGCCAACATGAAGACCTGCCCGAGGGGTCTCATCCCGGCACACCGGGCGGTCCACGAGTGTTCGGGACGGCGTTTCAATCGAGCAAGGGTGCCCGACCGTTGGCGGGCGGGCATTTGATGATCCTTGATGTCACATCCTCTTTCTCGGAGCCAAATCGTGAGTTCGACGTTCACATCTCTTATATAGATCTTATAGGAATCTGTTCATTTTCAGGGGTCAACCAGCGTTACAGAGTTTTGACATAGAGACACTGTGGATTTCTTCGTCGGCCTCTTTTTGCTCAAAAAACCTCTTGGTCGCCGAGATTTCGAAGACAAAACCCGGCCTTTCCAGGGGTGACCTCCTGGTAGCAACGGCGAAACGCCGCTTTTAGCGGTGCGAAACCATCGATTTATAGAGTGCCTTCTGACGGCCATCCCAAATTCCTTTCAATTGAACATTGGGGACCGGGAATATCGTCAATGCAAGGGCACAGGCTGAAGAATGAGTTTCTTCTGAGAGAAACATGAGCCAGAATCAAACAGGAACACAGTCTTTTTGTTAATCACATGCAATTTCACGCATCAATCAATTCCTACATCATCACAATATTCCGGGCAAAGTGCAAAGATCTCGCTCCAGCATGCCAACAAAGGTTCCGACCCACACCGTGCAATGCTCTAAGTGCAAACATATGCAAACAGATCTATCTATTATCTATATCTATATCTATCTTTTATCAATCCATCCATCTATAAACCCATCATAATTGATATAGATACAATATCAATTATGATGGGTTTATAATATATACACATACACAATACTCATTACTCCAACCTTCCAATCACCAAATCATCGGTCTCCTGCGTCTCCCCAGAGATGGTGACTGTACCTGCAGAATTTCTTCGTCTTTTCGGACCCAAAGACGGCAAAGGCGGTTTCTGTGGAGTCCAACATCTCCCTCGAAAGGTGCTTGACTTTCACAATTGGTTTCTGGGTGTCGTCCACTGCCGCGGGCTTTTCAGTAGATCCTTTCAGGACTCTTCCTCTGATGCTAGTATGATATTAGTTCATTGAGAACTCATTCATCCCCACGAAAACCTTCTCTGCACAAACATTGTGCAATGCTTTTCCAAGATTCTTGAAACTAGCTGATTTACTATGAACTGAAGGCTGGGCAGGCTGGATGCGAAGCTTTGATATGAACCCCGCACAATCGGTAGAACGAAAATTAAAGACATGTCGACTTTCACCACCAATTGATTAAAAGGCCCCGGTTCCGGCGTCAACAATCGGAGTGATTCGAGCGCCTTCTCCGCAAAGGTTCAACGCCATTGCTGGCCCCTCGCTACTAAAGAGCCGCCGCTGGCTGCCTGGACAAAAATGACAAAGCAGGGAAGGATGGGCAAGCGGTGGATATTTTTAAGGATCTTTTTGGTGGCGGGGAATATTTTTTTCTGAGAGTGCTTTAGAAGCATCAGGAGCAGCAGGAGGGCCAGGAGAAGGAGCAGCAGAGCCAGCGGGAGGGAGTTTTACTGTACCCTTGCGTGGCTCACAAAAGGTCTGCAACATTGATATGGCTCCTTCCTCGTCTGAATTTTTTCCCCGGATGGCACACAAAAAGTCTGCTCCTCTAATGTTTACTCTCGGGTAGCTCACAAAAGGTCTGCTACGTTGGAACGCACTTTCCTCCTCCAAATCTTGCCCCCGGGTGGCTCTGCTACGTTGGCACAGCAGCTTCCTCCTCTAAAGTTCACACTCGGACTCGTGTGGTCCACAAAAGATCTGCTACAATGGAACGACCCCTGCTTCCTCTAAACGTTACTTTCGGGCGGTTCACATCATAGGTCTGCTACATGGAATGTGTCCTTCCTGATCTACACGTCACCCTAGAGTAGCTCATAAAAGGCCTGTTACCTTGAAATGGACGCTGCCTCCTCTAAACTCTATCTTCAGCTGGCTTACCAAACCTATGCTACATTGGACTGCCTCCTTCCTCGTCGAAATGTTAACCTCGAGGCTCAGAAAAGGTCTGCTACCTCGGAATGGCCCTGCATCCTCTAAAATTTACCCTTGCGTGGCTCACAAAGGTCTGCAACGTTGGAATGGCTCCTTCCTTCTCTAAAAAGTAACCGCGGGTGGCTCACAAAAGGTCTGCTAGGTTGGAATGGAGACCTCACAGAAGGTCTGCTGCGTTGGAATGACCCCTTCCCTTTTTGTGTCTGCCCTCGGGTGGCTCAATCCAGCCTCCTCTAAATGTTTATCTTTGACTTGCCCACAAAGGGCCAGCTACCTCACATTGCTGCTTGTTCCTCTAAAGCTTACTCTTTGGTGGCTCACTAAAGGTCTGCTATGTGGAACGGAATGGCGCCTTCTCTTCAGAATGGCTCCTGCCTCTTCTTAATTTAACTCCAAGCTGTCAAAAGAAGAAGCAAGAGCAAATGCAAAAGCCAAAAGCAGTAGCAACAGCTCAAAAGCAAAAGCAGAAGCAAATGTAAAAGCAAAAGCGCAAAAGCAAAACCAAATGCAAAAGCAAAGGCTCAAAAGCAAATGTAAAAGCAAACGCGCAAAAGCAACAGCAGAAGCAAAAGCAGTAGCAAAAAGCAAAGGCTCAAAAGCAAAAGCAGAAGCAAATGTAAAAGCAAAAGCGCAAAAGCAAAAGCAGTAGCAAAAAGCAACACCACGTCCTGAAAAACTCTTAGAAAAAACTCCGAAAACCCATTCCCAAAGAACACAACGGTTCCATGGGGAAGGCCCCACGGTCCAGTCTTCCTGGATCAAATGGCCATGGATTGCCATCCAATGGATCCATGTAGAGATGCAACAGTGCACTCTGTTGTCCTCCAAGCACTTGCTTTCCATATCCAGTGATCCAGAATGGTCTTGAAACTGCTCAGCCTCATAGCTGATTGATACCTGCTCAGCCTGCGAGCACCTTCTGTCCCAACTCCACCCCATCCAACCCAACCCCGTTCCTCCTTCGGGGATGCTCAGGTGGGTGACTTGAAACTCCTGGCTGGTCTTTCAGGAAGAGGGTCTGATTCAACTCATGTCAGCTGGCTGATCACTATGGAAGCAATGATTTCTGGTTTGATTTTGACCCATCTCCACATCCCCATACAAAAGAAACATAGGAGGCATGATGCTTAGACCAAATTAGAGGGACCTGAATCATAGCCTTTTGACACATCAGGTGAGGAAACCATGCGGGACTGTTCAAAAGACACGTCCCATCCTGGATATCTGGATCTGAGTACAGCAGGATACCCTTCTCCAGCCTCAGCTGACATCCAGAACCTTTAACTGCACGGGTGATTGCTTGGCAATGTTCATCGACCATGCTCGGGTCTTTGGGATGTTTCAGGCGGATCTGCTGGGACGAACTACACTTCCTAGGATGCAGTTGGATGCATAGGGTATATATATATATATACAAACGTCACACTTCATTTCGACTAACCAAATATATGAATACATACTATAACTTTTCGTGCCCCAAATGTAGTACAGTAATCTTTTCATTCGGTCTACCACACCACAATACATTGTAAACAACCTAATATAACGTCATAAAAACACTCTTGTACGTATATACAGTAAGCTGAATCGGACCACACATCTGAGCAAGGCACTCGACAGGTTCTAAGGTCGCAGGTGGACCGCCTCGAGATCCGCACGGAATCCTTTGGGCTTTTGTGCCTTTTGTCACCTGACCTGAAGGTTCTTAATTGATTACTATATAGTATTAATGCCCTTGTTGCTAGTAGCGATGCCCTTGCTACCAGTAGCTTCTATTGCGTACAACAACATGAACTAATGCAGTGACTTTGTGAGGCCGTGATCATGGGGATTCCAAACAACGCGAACTTCGACGTCCATCAACAGCACCATCCGTGTCGTCCTCACTGTCCTTCCTCGTGGTCTTGTGGGTCGGACCAAAGGCTCATCCAACGAAAGGTATTTGATGAGTTTCGTATGTATCAAACGCAACTCATCAAATGTCTAATGGTTTTGCATGTCTTTGAGGCATTCTGGCCTTTGTAGTTCAGCATTTCGCACAAAACATCCACGTCCTGGCAAGTTGGTGGCCGCAAACCTCTGCTCCCGCAGCATCACTACCCGCAGGCGGTCCCAGTTTCTTCAAGGCTTACCTCAACGGCTTGGAGATGGTTCCCTTGGAGATTGATAATCTGATAGTATTCAAATGTATTCAATTGGATTTATATGGACCCTTCTTCTTGACTTGATGTATCCATGCTTTTGCCACCTCAAATGCAGCAGTTTTGTTCTAGGGCTCTAGGTCAAGCTGTGTTTCAATATGCTCCTGGCCAGTTGGTGCGCAGCAAAAGGAGGACACTCCGATTCTGCACATCAAATCCTATGAATGAACGTTTACATGACTGCTCCGTTTGAGCCTTCGTGAAAATGCAAGATGATGGAACAGGTGCAAACGCATCTCATCCTTCGGCCCAAACTAATTCCTCGCATCTCGCAGAACATCATCTCCCTTCGATGATCACTCGCAAACGGTCGGTGTCCTTGAATTTTGGAGTGAGGCCACCACGCACCACGTTGTCTGAACAGGCCATACACCTCAGTGGTCTGAAGCGGACCCGCAGGCCATACTGTTTTCCTCAGGCTTGGCTCAAGCATTGACACCTGCACACATGGGTACGCCTCAACTGATGTACTATTGACTCCTCACTTCGTTTGATATTTGGGCACTGCGGTTTTTGTGTCGGTTTAGTTTTGTTTTAATGGTAGGTTGTGAATAGTTGTGAGTGTTCCTGAAACACGCCATGTCCCTCACGTTCTGCTTTCAACTCCTATGCACCGGCTGCTGGGAATCGCCCAAGTGGACCAAGGAACACAGCGAAAACCCAAACAGTGGAAGACCTTCCAATCCTGATCACATGTCTCTGCTTGCAGAACAGCTGTCATCATTCTTAACTAGCAGAAACATGTACAGCACGTGCGCAACAAAGCGGAACAAAGCGACCGGAGCGACCGGGGGAGGATGTGCGACACGCGTCGCACCTGTGGAGGCGACACGTGGCAGCTACATCGACACCTGAGGATCCTGACTCAACAATGTCCCCAGAGATGTAGGCGTGCGGCACGTTTTGTGCCATGTACAAGCCTGGGCACATGGCGCACTAATTGCGCACTAAGGTGTATTGGAGCACCTAACTTGCTGAGCTTGGTGGGATCGAATCAAAAGGCTTAGTGAGGCACAGTGTTGGAATCACAGGGAGAATGTACAAAGGATCAAAGGAAACCTGATCAATTATATAGAATCTAATTTCCTTCACGGTCCTTCACAGTAGAAAACAGTTTCCGAACAACTTTCACTACCGGCAAACAAACACACACTCTCTCAAGTAAACCAAGTGTAAGAAAGTATAAAACATATCCAGGAAACGCCTAAAAAGAAGATAATGATTGAAGTCACTCTTCTATGGCTCTCAGCTCTTGTCTCACGTGTCTCACATAGCAAGCACACCACTCTGGTAGCTTGAGATGAGGCACATTCGCCCACACCCATGCAGACATAGTTCATAAAGAAGACGGAAAATATCCCTGACGCGTGTTGTCGACACAGTGCAACAAACTTCTCTCTCAGGGTGACGAGCAAGACACATATGCACACTCTGCATTTGCTGGCGGTTTTGCTGAAACTGTAATCAATACCAACGCCCGCAGCCCGCCCCGGGCTCCGGCCTACATCTACTCCGTACTGCTCATAAAGCATGCCTCAGCTTCATCCACACAAACGCCCAACCCCCCCCGCAAACTGGACAAAGGGGGCATGTATCCAACCATGACACGCTTGTCAGGAAGCGTATACAGTAATATGAGTGATTTCAATGTCCCGCCACAGCATCTCCAATACCATTTCCAACATCATGTCCTACATCCATATTTATGTCTGGCAGAACTTCAACACCTGAAGCCTTGATTTCACAGGGAAACTCACCCCCTGAAGGTAAATATCAAGGACCCCAAAATGGTCTTCGATGGTGTCTTTTCAATCGATCCTCTTGTCACCGCCGCGTCCATGTGCCAGGAGCCCATCATTCCGAATTGAACTACGCCCGTGCTGCGCCGGCTGTGCCAGGCGGCAAACCAATCTGAAGCAATCCTGGCGTCGGCATGGACCGACTCCAGCTCAGAGGGGTTGAATCGACTCCAGCGGGGTGTCGAGTCGTGCTTTCAATATCTTTCAATTGCATGACCCGAGTCTGCACACTTTTGAGATGAGTACGATCATGAGCATATCGTTACTGTGTCTCGTCCCCCTGTTCACACTGTTCGTTTCTTGCCAGGACCTCAACATCCATCAATGGCCAGCTTACAGCTTACCCCTTTCCACTTCCGAACCATCTGGTGGCCTTGATTTTTTTGTGCAAATCGTCTTTCATGACGACCTTGGGAGCGCACGATTCTTGACAGCGAACTGCAAAGTGAAACATCTGTGTGTGGGATGGGGGATAGTATGAATTCCTTGTTTTCTCATACTCACCTTTGACATCCGACTTTTCTTCATTCACATATCACACCATGAGAAGCCAGCAAACCTTGATGAGTTTCATTCATTGGGATGTTCCTCTATTTTGAGACACTCAATGTGGTTGCCTTGCTCCACTAGGACCCTATGACGTCCAAGCTTCCATCTTGGCCCTGTCATGAAGAGCTTGCACCTGATTTTTCAGCTCATCTTCCGAAGAATGCATCCTTAGGTGCCAGAATGCAATGGTTGAGACAGGATATATATGGAGGATGGATGCATTGTTTAAGCCAAGAGAGGGAGCGTTTCTGGGTGTTTCGCGTGGATGACATACCGGCTTTGAGCAATTCGCCACATCTTCTAGCTGCTAGCTGAGCCACACATTGGAATATGCTTGCCGCAGAGCCTGGCGCAGGCCAGGCAACGTAAATTAATTTGGCATTCATGGCACCACCATAACAATGCCATAGAGCATCCACAAACGAGTCTTCCACACAGTCTGTGTTTTCGAGTGACACTGACCAACCCGAAAGATTTTGTGAGACCTTGAGCCAGATCCCAATCAGTGCCCAAGTGCTGGTACTCTACGGTATTTTGGATCATCCGTCTTTTCTGAGCAGTCGGGCCTCGGACTCCTTTTCTTCGTCTCCTGCTGCGGCTTCTAACTGCTGAACGGCTCCTCCCATGAGAGTAGCAAGCTCCGGCACATGCCTCAAAGGTTCAAAACAGTCTCGATTTGTAATTTCGAGGTCCAACACTAATTCGCCCAGGGCGAGGTACATGGTAGTCCCTTCCACCCTGAATATCAAGGCATGCGAAATCTTTTCAAGGGGGATCCTTGTTTGATGGCCTCTAGACCCTTTGACCCGCCGACACACACATGTCCCCAGACGGCAAGCGTGCATGCGTGCATGCTTCGGTGGTAACATCGTACCGGCGAATGCCAAGGGTCTGCAGCATCTCAAGGATTTCAGTCACCGCCCTGAAGCCACCTGACATACGACGCAAACGACGCGCCCCACGCGCCCGATGAACGTTTGTGGAGTCAGGAGTCAACTGACGAGTCGGAGTGAAAAAGGATGACCGGAAGTCGCTACCCTGAGGTCGTCTCCATGATTTGGTCGTTTTGTTCGGGAATCTCTTCATGATCGAAGCGACGGGAACCGACGGCTGGATCATGCTGGATCCGAGGGACACAAGGCTTGGAAGTCATCGCTCAAGGCAATGGCAATTTCAGGCTTGTGGTTGGCATCTTTATAGATATCTGGCTTCTCCTCAAAGCAACTGATGGTCATGACAACGAAGATTGGTGTAGGTCTTGCCAGAATCAACACACTTGAACCAGGAACCTGATGTCCTCATGGGAAGAATACACTTCACAAACACACAAACATCATTACCAACACATTGAGTGGGAAAACAACAAAACCACACATGGCTGACTAGATTCTTGAAGTAAAAAGAGGGAGGACAAGCAGCGTTTTTTTCACCAGTCTTACTCAATATTGAATGTTAATGTTGCAACTTGATTTGTCAAATGGTATCGAATAACAAAAACCTTCCACCATAAGACCATAATCCCACCCTTTGAACGAACTGTTTAATTGGATGGAACGATGAATAATTTGGTTCCTCCTTCTCTTTTGGATCACTTGTGCTTCTCCCATTCTTTCTGAGAAGCTACTTGTTGAATCTCCTGTTGAATTCCTTTTGTAAGAAATACCTCAGTTCTTTGAGCAACAAAGCCCCACAAAATGCCACAAGCAGCTGTCAGCGCTGCCTGCCCCTGTGTTTTGCAGCCATCCAAAGCACCCCTGCCGAGAATCTCACAAGGCTCACCCTCTCGACCAAGTCGCAGCGTGGAGCTTGGCTGCTCTTTGCTTATCAGGATGTGCTTGAATGGACAGGGCCTTGTGGATTGACAAGACCTGCCAGCCAGGGATCCCCAAAAATCAATTCCAGCACGTGAGAGACTCTGCCAGCGTGAGAGAAGATTCCCGTCTCTTCGAATGACTCTGCAAGGGAAGCATGTAGCAATTCATGAGAAGTGGCTGAGTACGCTCTTCTGATTCTGCGAATAATGGGTGCTATATTGGGACTAGGAAGAGCGGCTTACGGGTTCATTGTTGGCGTCCGTAATACCAAAACTCGAGGTTCTCTACGCTCTTGAGTATGGTTTACTCCTGCAAGCAGTCAAGAATTTGCTCACCCGATGTTTGCTTTTGCTCGAGCCCGCTCAGCCCACGACTACTAGACCACTAAAAGAAACACTTCATTGTAAAGGATTTTAAACACATTTTGACACCCCCCCGCTGTGTCGCCTGACTTGAGCTTCACAAAAAGCGAACCAATGGGGTCAGTGTAAAACGAAGGTCCCTGACGCGACTCCGCGGGCGGGGGGAGCACACGAGCACGTGCTCCACATGCTCCGCCTTGAGTAGGAACGGGAGCTGCTTAGACTCCGAGAGTTGACCCAGCATCGAGGGTGATCGATGCATGACTTCTTGCAAGGACGCGGCCCTGCAAATCCTCAGACCGATTTTCAGGTCTGCTTTGTTTTTTTTTTTCCGGTCTGTTTCAGCGCGGTTTCGTGCTGGCTGTTTGGATGCGTTTTGCTTTTCTTGTTTTTAGCCGGGAGACTTTTTTGGGGCTCGGATGTTGTGCCCGGGAAGAATATGGGGAAAGGTTCAAGGCTGGAGGCACAGGTCAAACTAGTGCCCGGTCAGGTCAAGGTATTGCAATGGCCTCAAACAAAGGCCAATAAACTTGATTCAAATGATGAAACTGTGTCTAGTCTAGTGGAAGTCCATCACTCAAGAACCTGGCCATGAACCGAAGAATGATTGGATGAACCCTCACTACAATTACGTTTCCTTACACTATGCAACACAGGGTTGGGGGAATAGGGGCCATAGAGTCATAGAGCTTCCAAAGGCAGAAACATCCGAATTGGTTTCAAAACCCGTCAAAAAAGGCGGCTATCCCGACTGGGACTAACGTGAAATTTCTGGTGATTACAAACGGGACAGATTCATAAAGCTATGCCATTGTGTAGAATGCACAACACGCCCAAATAAGGCAAAATTAGTTGCCTTTGAAAGGATATTGAACTTTCGAGGGCCTCTCTCTGTCTGTGTCTCTGTCTCTGTCTCTCTCTCTCTCTCTCTCGCAGATTTATTGAGTTGGTGTACAATTTGTGAAACTGATGGCGTGAAGATTCAGTGTAACGGTTTGGTGACCGCGCTTGAAACCATCTGTGCACCATCTAAGGAACGGTTGATCTGGCTGAAATACACCTCTTTCACAGGCCTGTGATATCTTGTCTATACCATATATTATGCATATAGATATATGCGTACAAACATATGGGTGTGGCCAGAAACCCTGGTATGGATCGTTCCGCGCTGCAGTGAGAGTGATTCAAACCCTATGGATCAGAGCGCTGATCCAAGCCCTATGGATCAAACCGACAAGTCACTTGATCCAAGCCCCCAACATGAACACATCTGCATGGTGGCACTTCACCCCACCACTTTCTCACCAATTCACTGTGAAGGTGGTGGCTTCCCAGATCAAAGCCATGTTTTGAAGTTCTGGCCGCTGTGAATTTGGGCTCCACTGTCCACATATTGGGCAATCAGCTGGCCGCGCATATTGGTGACTCAGTGGGCTTTCAAGACATTTAACTCTAGATTGGAGGCGCGCTCCGAAAACTGATTTAGTGGCTGCCGCTAATTCTATTTGGCCTTAATATTGTGTTCTGGCACCTTATTTAATATGGGTTAGTTGGGTTGGCTCCTCCCCTCAAAGGGTTGCATAGCCTAATGGTAAAGACGTCGGCTTCCAATTCTTCACGTCCACAGGGAGAGGGTTTGAGTCCCGGCTGTGAACACGCTTAGTGGCTTCCGGTAATTAATTTTTGGCTGGAGTGGGAAGTCAATTCGAAGTTGAGTCTGGTGGTAATACTGGTGATAGTGGTGAGTAGCAGTAGCAGCAGCAGTAAAGCTGTTGCAGGCAAAGTAGCAGAAGGAGTGGTGGCAGCAGAGGTGGTTGTAGTAGTGGTTTGTAGTAGTGGTGGTTCGAGTCCCGGCTGTGACCACACTTAGTGGCTTCCGGTAATTACTTTTGGCTGGAATGGGAAGTCAATTTGAAGTTGAGTCTAGTGGCTTCCGCTAAATCTGTGGTGGTGGTAATACTGCTGATAGTAGTGAGTAGCAGTAGCAGCAACAGTAAAGCTGTTGCAGTAGTAGCAGCAGGTGGCAAGTGCAGTGGCAGTAGCAGTGGTGGCAGCAGAGGTGGTTGTAGTAGTGGTGGTGGTGATCCAAGGGCTTGGATCACACACCCACCTTTTGATCCATACCCCATGGATCGAGGTATGGATCGTGTGTGGGTTTGGGTGTGTGATCCAAGCCTTATGTTTTTGGCCGTAGCCATATGGAACATGACGTTGCACGTAAACATATACGCGCACAACAATTCAACATGTTGAAACATATCAGTTCGATACACAGCCGCAAACACAGCCGCCAGCAAACACCCGCACGCGCAGCCAGCTCAGCACCGGCGCCCAGCACCGCCACCACACTACCCTCGACAATCCTCACACCCACCTCACACGGCACCCTGTCTTCACAACGTGAACCAGCACCAGCACCGGCAGCGTCTCTCGAAAGCGTGTGGGCAGCTCACCTTGTTTCATAGCTACTGGCGGAAAAAGTCTCAATCGGGGCTTAGCTCCAGAGTCATACATAGGGTTGCTGAGCTCCAAGACTTCAGAATTCCAAGTAAGATTCCAGCTATTTGGATATTCAAAAATGTTACTTACTCTGTCTCTGAAGCACACGCAAGCTTTCAAACAAGTTCTGCTCAAAGTCAAGAAAGCGAATCACTGAGCCACCGGGCACGTTTGGGTGTTTGCGACTTTTCTTCTCAAACCCGGATAGAGCGTCCAACGATGATTATTGCATTCGTTTGTTTGTTGAAGACTCTTGAAGTCAGTTACACCCTGCACAACCCCCTCCATATAGAAATCACAAGGTTTATTTATTCTGTCGCTCGCGTTTAGTTGCCAAGCGGATGAGGAGGAGAGGGGAAGGCTCAAGAATGATAATTACATCAGCATAGACACCAAATAGCAACCAACTGTAAAAACAACAGCACCTGAGACAAAAAAATCAAACAATTCTGTCGCACTTCCAGTGGCCGAATATGATGTTGCACGTATAAGTATAAAAGTATATATATATATATGTTGCTATATAGTGCTATATATCTTATATGATCATATATTATCAATCATTAATGATTGATACTATGTAGATTGTTGATGATTTTTGTAGAGTATTGTAGATTAATACGGACTGCATTTAGAAAACGACCTGCGAAACCTCTATGCTCTTTTCCATCTCTCAGCAAGAGCTGGCCCTCGTTTAACATGGTTTGGAGCGCAATCGGCAGCAGCTGAAACGGAGGATTGCATGTCCCGGAGCGCAACCGACCGGTAAAACCTTCAACACAAGTCTTAATTGATCTTGAAGGCTGTTTACAGAAGCAACCTCTCAGACTCTGTCAGACCAAACAATGATGATTTGGATCATCTTCGATACAAACCCTTTGAACATCTTTGAACCGTGCGACCCAGCTTCGGACTCTTCTTCTTCATTGCTTTTTCATTGCTGGGGCTTTCTACCCGAGCAGGCCCAGACGGATGGTCACCCATCCACAGTTCAGCAAAGGGCTTGCTATCGTCCTGGGAGATCGGGTGAATGCGGCTCAGTTCGGTCAAGCTGACTGATTCATGTTCCAATGCAACCCTTTGAATCCTGCTGGTTGCTGATGATGGTTGACAACAATTCATAAAAACTCTTCCTGCTTGGGTATATCCTGGCAATTTGTGATATACAGTAGTCATAATCTTTTACCGACTGTTACTGGTAAGGGGATACACCCTAACTCTTCAGGAATAACATGAAGGCCTACTTCGTCCCGGGGGGTCGGCCTGTGGGTCGTGCTCGGGTGACTGCTGCCCGGTGAGAGCTGCAATAATACTCGCATTGCGAGGCTTGCCTCATGCACCAAAGCTGTCAGATTGCCACTGTTGGACTGCAATATCTGATAATGTCCATGCAATCAGGTATTTTTTAAAGAATAGCCCTTCTACTCATGAGCAGCCACGGTTGACGGTGGCGCGCTGATTCACTGATAAGCTTCCGAAGAGCTTTATACCTCTAAGTGTTAAAATCGAACCTTTACCACAGCAAAACACATATTACTTATTACAGATATCGACTGCCAGGCTCATTTATCAACATTTCCAACGTCACATGTTGAATCATAGAGCAAGAAGTCCTTGCCCTGATGAATGCCAACAAAGTCTAGTGATGAAAGCAATAGCCTGTATATGTCACGCTGAACATGGAAAATTCACGCTGAACATGGAAAATGGCCAGCACTAGTCTCTTGTCTTCAGCCAGTTCACCCCAATCATAGTGCTGCGTGTACGGCGTCAGCGAGAGCAATTGAATTCCAAGTCCATCCACCATCTGAATACCCAACTGCGCACACACCTGGGACGAGCGCTTCCGCGTCGCAGCGCTGAACCGCGCCGCGCCACCACGAGAGATCCGACCGGAAAACACATCGGGTCGGACCATGCTGGAGAGGGAGTTGGTGTGTCATGCTCCAAAGGAGGCTCGAACATGCTCGAACTGTTAATGCTTGATAGATCATGATAGATCTATATACATCTTGTTCATTCGCTTCGCCAGAAAGGAGCTGAACTGAAGGAGATGTGTGAGTCTGATCACCTTCAGCTGTGGCTACGACTTAGTCGACCCGCTAGTGTTGAGGAAAAGCTGGTACCAAATACATTAATCACACATAGCGCAAGTGACATGGGATTTCTTCCCTGCAATAGTGCGTTTTCCTTTCTCAAGCAAGTGGATGACAACTGACAACTGATGACAACTGTTTTCCCGTCCGCTAGCTTTGCTCGTTGACTTCTGAATCTCTACCCAACTGTGTCTCATCAAATACTACGGCGGTGACCACTCGACAACTTGTGTGCCTTGATTTCCAACTCAGTGGGCTTCGTCCCACCCCCATTGGCAAAAATATCTGGATGTAGCAATCCTTGGGCTCACGTCACTGTGAGAGGTTATGGGCATGTGTCTTTGTTCCAACAAACACAAAACAGCTGACAAACACCTCAACCCCATAGATATGCTGTTCTGTCAAAAGGTGCAGGGTTTCTTACATCATCTTACATCAACATGAACTCCATTTCGTTCCCTAAGCACTTTCCGAGGCCTTTTACTGGGTGGGCCATCTTGATGATGACGAGACCAAGTCTTTGGACACCCTGAAATAGTGTACAAGCCTCATGTGCCATGTGCTGCCCTGAACGAAAGAACAAGCATATGCAAACATATGGTTTTCTTTCAATGGCCTCCGAGTTTTAAGCCAGCCAACAGTCTTTGGTCAAACGCTTTATAAGGTGTTTATATAGCATAATATATATATATATATACCCAGGGGTCTAACGTCGAAGTTAACTTAGTATTTTGCAAGTTACGAAGTTAAACTTAGTATTTGCACAAATACGATGTGAAGAACTGCGGAATGGCGCAGCGGATGCGGACTTTCGCTCGAAAGCGGCTCAAGGGCCCTGTGGCCAGTTGGGGTCAAACGGCGGCGGAGGCGACAACCGGTTCAGGGCTCATGTCATGGTCCTTCGTTTCACATCCTTCGGGGGGTCCATCATGAACCGGTTGCTTCCTCAGGGCATATTTAGCCCGGGCCATGATCCTACGCAGCAGCGTGGAGTTGCCAAGTCTCTTCGTCAGTGGGTCGGCAATCATGATGTGGCCTGGCACCCAGTAGGTGGTCACATTCAACAGCTTGGCGGACGTGTAGATGACCGAAACATCGATCTGGGCTCTTCTGTCCTGACCGGCATTTCCTGACCTTCGGTGGAGCAGGTCGTACAAAGCTTTTGCATCCGTCACATGGATGCCCTTATCATCATCCTGAACATAAAGCTCAGGCGCCCGGCTTTCATCTTCAGGTCGGCGCATGACCAGCACCGAAGCTTCAGGACCAAGGCGAGTCCGGTCCATCACACAGGAGGATGGATCCATGATCTCGCGCCACAAGGCACGGATCCATCCATAGCCAAGGCTTCGGAGCCCAAAGTGGCCTTGACCACACGCTTGAGGCGATGGGATCGCCAGCTGTTGATGGAGAAGTCGGCCTCATTGCCCTCCATGATCATGTAATCGGCGAAGGCAATGATGAAGCCGCCTTGAGACTTGTTTTCCACATTCGCCATTGAGGCGTCAGCCACGCTCATCCAGATCCCGCGCTCCGGAGGAATGGGCTGGATCCGGATCACCACATCAGGTGTTTGCTTCAACTCGGACACAGTTTTGTTCGCCATCAGGATGTGCTCGATGGTCGGGCCGTTGGAGCTCCAGCTCATAGCCATTGCACACGCCGCTCCAACATCAGGTCGGCCCTCCTTTCCAAACCCAAAGCAAAGAGCCGCCCACACCACGTAGCCAAGTGACCTCTTGGTCATTGAGAGGCTCTGCTTTCTGGCGCAACCGCTCCTTGGGCAAAGTGACCGGCTTCAACTTGGTCTCGATGTAGCGCTTCATGCTGATGTCAATCTCGAAGTTTTCTTTCTGGGTCAGCGTGCGACCAATGTAGTCAGCGCTATCACCATAAACATCACGCCACTTGCCGAACTTGAGCTTGGTCCGAAGTTGAGCCATCAGTTCATCATGGCGCTTGTTGCCGCCCTGGCAAAAATCGTCCACGTCAAGCAGGACGACGCCAGCAACTGAAAATTTTGCACCTTCTTTGATCTCCTCCGGGTTGGCTTTGAGGTAGTAGAAGCACGGATCAAAGATGCTCTCATTGTAGCCGAGGGAGATCAACAGTCGACGCACGGTCTTGCGCCACACGGCAGGTGCGTTCACCAAACCATAAACAGCCGTGAGCACCTTGATGATGGCGCTCTGCGGATAGCCAGGAATGCCAGTTGGAGGCACGGTGGCAAACAAAGGTCCTTGCGACCGCTCATGAGGGTCTGACTGTCCAAAGGCGCTGCTGACATCCATAATGCGCAGTCGAAAGTTCATGGAGGCCAGCGCCTGCAAACAAAGCATCACAGTTGTGGAGGAAGGTGTAGGTGCATAGCGCTCCAACTCCAAGGCATCAGGATCTTTATGCCCAAGTAACAGCCAACGAGCTTTGGCTTTCCAGCCTTCTCCAACATCACCGGTCCACCGGTCTTCTTGATGATGAGGTAGCGCGAAGGCATGATCCTGTTGGAGTTGATGAGGTTCTGAATCTCGAGCAGTTTGGCATCGTTGAACATCTTCTTTTCATGCTCAGGCAGCTTTCGCTCATCCAGCTCTTTTCCACTCTGCTTGGTCAAGTAGGTGATGGGCTTATCCAGGTCGTGTAGGAAGTAGAACACGTCGGTCTTCTCGACCTTATTGAACAGGTTCAAGTCGCGTGCATTGACCACGATGGGGTAGTCAGACTTGTTGCCCCATTCAGTCCTTTCATCTGCACGCCGCGTGGGAAAGAGCTTGCTCTTCGTAGCTGCCCGTGGATTTTGAGCAGGTCCATCTAGGCTTCGTTTGAGGCCTTCATCAATGAGTCGAGCATCTTCTGGAGGTTCTTCATCACGACTCTTCTTATTGGGAGGCTCAGCGGTCTCCACTGTCGGCCATGGTTTGCCGAGATCAGGATGTCCAGGTCGCCGGCGGTAGATCAAAGTTGTCTCGATGGACCGGATGCCCTCAGGAAGCTTCTTGTGCACCTTGTGGATGGTCATCTCAGGTGTCACTTCTTCATCAGCCACCACATTGTTGGTGTCCAGGTCAACGGTGATTCGCCTGAACACATCGCCCCAGAGAGGACCGTGGCTGTTGCTTCCTCTGAAGCGCTTGGCTTCGACGTCATATCTTGTCCATTGGCGAAGATCACCAGCTTCTCCACGATCAACATCTCCAGTGTCCTTGGATTTCTCCAAGGTCGCCTTCCAAAGCTCATCTGCATCATTCATTGGCTTGGAGGCAGAAGACGATGAAGTGGATGGTGTCTCTGTAGTCGATCTTGTGGGTTCCACAGCTGCAGGAGCCATAGGCTGTGGCCTGATAGGTTCTGAGGTAGGCACAGTCTCCGGCATCGGTGGAGTCGGCCTGGAAGGAGTCAAGGTTGTAGTCCCCTTCTTGCCAGTGTGCTCCTCGATCACAATCGGCGGTTGGTCGTCATCATCAACAATCACGACTGGTCCTTTAGGTGGAGTCCTTGAACGCTCACGTCGCAAACTTAACCTGAAGGTGCTGGAGCGCTAGGAACTGGACCAGGTGTAGTTGGCGCCGGCAAAGGTGTCTGTGGCGCCGCTGAAGGATTCGGTGTTCTGGATCCTTCAGGGGGTACTCGAGGCGTCGGCGGAACTCGCCGGTGAATCTGGGCTCCTTCAACCACAGGGTGTCCATCTTCATTGACAACAGGTTCACCCTCCTTGGACACATCGATGTAGCCCAGCTTCTCACTGTCAAACTTCAATCTCTCTTTTGCTTTCAAGAGCTCTCGTGGGACAGATTCTAGCCCTTGCTTGTCCATGTTGCTCATCTTGAAGATTTGGCTCTTGTTGCATTTCCACAGTTCACTTCTGCGCGTCACCCACACAGTATCGCCCTTCTGGAGGACAACGTAGCATGGTCCAACTTTTGCTTGATAGCCCCTCTTGCCCTGTCTCCAAACATAGACTGGTTCACCTTCTTCAAAATGAAGATCTTCTCGGGCTCGTCGGGGTCTTGCGCGGATCGCGCGATTCAATCGGTCGCGGCCATCAATCTCAACCAAGGCTCGTCGTGCAGCAAGTCGGATGGCCTCAGATCTTTTCCAAGCTTCATCTCCAGTCTGGGACAGTTCAACCTGATTGCCGTCGCTGAGCAATTCCATAGCCAAACTTGGCTGTCGACCAAATACCCTCTGGGCAGGTGAGTAGCCCGAACGATTGGCGAGGGTCTGCAAAGCCCAGCTGCATTCATGAACAAGATCCCGGACTTCTTGAAGATCAGCCGGTTGATGAAGCTCTCTGGTCTTGTAGTAAAGCTCTTTGAGAAAAGGCCACCACGTCTTTCACATACACCGTTTTGATACGGTGCATTGCGGTCGATCAGGATCGGCTGCACGCCATGGTCTTCCAAGCCGTTGATGAATTGGCCTGCGACTTCAAGTCCTTGATCCAGGATCATAAAGGAAGGCGCGCCAAACACACGCAACCAACATTGCAGAAAGGTTGACCAAACCAATGCAGAGGATCTGCGGTTGGCACGCACCAAGGAAAAGGTGGAGTACAGTGTTCCAACACACGTGACATTCAGGGTGGGATGCTCTTCGAGAGGTGAAGCTCCAGTCACAAACAGGAGGTCAATGCCAATGACCACATTGAAATCGTGGGTCGACGCTGGCAACCGCGTCGGTTGTCTTTTCTCCTTCATGCAACCCGCGCGTTCAAACTCCTTGAGGACATACTCGATGACGTCATTGCGGGTGCCAAGTTCACGTGAGCACGGAGCACCATCATCTTCTCATTGTGAGAGATCTTGCTCTTTGGTGCATCTTCTGCAAAAACATGTTGTGGAAGCGCTTGATGTTGAAAAGGGCACACCGCATAGGAGTAGTTGGCTTCCAGCGAAGGTGGCTTACCACTTCGAGCACGTTCAAGCTGAAGCCATTTGCCATCATATGGATTCTTGCACCACGTCCAGCGAAGGCGACGGTGTCCGGGACCATGTGGTGGAATCTTTGTGGGCTTGTGCATCACCAGCACTGCCATTCCATGAAGTTCGCGCCAATGAAAAGGTTGGCGATCAAGTTCATCACACCACTGCTCCAGGTCACCAAGGTCAGGCAGCTTAGATGGTCGGCCTTGCTGTTGATCAAGCCATTCTTGTAGTAGACCATCGATGATAGCCTTGACCAGTGCTGGAGGATAGGTCTGAGCCTCGCGAGGAAGGCCACTTTCAAGTCGTTGGTGAGGTTCATCGCAATGGCATAGTCGTTGAAGTTCTGCAGCTATCTGGTCACAGGTGCCTGCAAACAAA